CCCCCCCCCCCCCCGCGCACTAAGATTTGCCACTCTGGAAAGTGGGGCTGACACGACAGGCTCCCCTGGGGGTGGGGGTGCGGCAGCCAGCCGTGGCTTGGTCAGCCCCCTCCCCCACGCTTTGCATGTGCGCCCGGTAGTCGGACCCCCTGGATGCGCCAGGCCCCATTCCTGCGCACGCGTGCTTGGGAGTGCCGGCTGCAACGTGGGAATGTGGCTCCAGCCTGGAGGCAAAGGCCGTTTTGTCCAGGCAGCGATCGGCGCTGACCGCGGTCTCCAGCCCGCCAGCCCGCTTCCCGTGGTGGGTTGCTGCTCTTGTTTTATCGGGTGTTGCGGGTGATTGTAAGTTGCCCGCCCTGCGTGCCCCAGTCGGCAGAAAGTGCGGGGGGGGCAAATCTCATCCTTCAGTGCATGATAAGCGGCATGTCCTTTGCTCTGTGCTCGGCGTGAAGCCGCGGTGGGTGTCATGCGCCAGACCCTCCCCTCGTCCGTAGCAAGAGTTGGTGGGGCGGGGGGGGAGGGGGCTGTGCCAGCTGTATGCGCTGAGGACCTCTGCCAGCAGGAGCACGGGCGCAAGAGGCGCTTTCCCGAGTGCCAGCCAGAGATGGTTGCAAATGGGTGGATTGCAGCGGGGGGGGGGGGGTAACCCAGGGCCTCCCAGGCCCCTCCCAGCTCTGCTGTCCTGGGATCCCATGAAGTGCTGAACTGACCCGGGCTCCCGGGTGCACCTGTGGCTGCGAAAGCGCCCGTGCTGGACTGGGCGGCCTTGGCACGGGTGCAGCTTCCGGATCGCGCTCGGCCTCCCCGGAAGTTGTCGTCCTGCTCGGGGCACCGCACCTCAAGGAGGATGCAGGCGAGCTGGAAAGGGTCCAGAGGGGGCAGCGAGCCGGATCCAGGGAGCGCACACGAGCCCCGGGAGGAGAGCCGCAGAGGGCCGGGCACGTTCAGCCGCGAGAAGACTGCGGGGAGGTCGGGGAGCCCTTGCTGAGTCCTGGAAGGGCCGTCGCAAAGAGGGAGGCCAGGATCTCTTCCCGAACATCCCGGAGTGCAGGGCACGGAATAACCGGCTCGAGTTC